ATTAGTTTCTACATACTAATTATTGTGTTTAGTTACTCATAAAGCGGTCAAGATCCGAATCAATCGTTTTGATTCGTTTTCTCAGGTAAAGGCGTTGGATTTCTTCCATAAATCTATACGTTGTTACTTGGATCTTTTCAAGACCTTAGAACATCTAATCCTTGGAAATTCGTGGATCTTTCCTTCGAATCTCCCATATCTTTAATTAGTTTTGTTGTTTCTTTTCTTGTGCTTCCGCATTCTAATATTCAATTCTCTATTTGTGATCTCCTTTAACCTTGCTGTTATCACCTAGTCACTATTATCTACAAATTTTTCTATCGAAAGCATGTACCCAACGATTTAACTCAACTTGTATTGCGGTCACACCACAATAACTCTTCCCCACACTTGATTTTGTTGTTTTTGCTATATTTGTGATAAAACAACGCAAATTGATATTTGACACTTTTCTGTCCCCCTTTAATTTACAATGTTTTTAATTGTTAATGTCTTTAGCTACCACAAGTTAAAACTAAATTTTATTTTTCTATAAATTCTCAAAACCGCTCCCTTGGGACACGACCCCAACCTTTGGTTGGGTTACTATACTATTGCACGATCGTAGGCACTCGTACTGGAAGTTGTGTCATTGATTACGCAAAACATCACTATGCAGTATATCATCAAATTCTAATTGATGAAGATGGTGTGGAGAAAACAGTTGTCACGATCCAGGGGTACCCCCTAGATGTAACAAGGCACATAGAACTCTGAAAGGCTCCATGTAAGCCACTTAGCATATCACGACATAAGCAATAGAACAATAAGAGTAAAACGCTTTTCAATTCAAGTCTAAAATTTTCATTTGAAGAAAAGTTCCAGTTTAGACTCTAAGTATCAACATAGCCATCTGTTACAATAATCGAATAATAAAAGGGACACAACCTATACAACATAGACTAAAAAGGAAATACGAGAAAAGAACTAGAAAAAGAGAACATATGTCCTCGAATCATGAGGACCTACCAACAAGCTAGGAGAATAGGCAAATTGAAGCTTTTAGTAGAAAAATGTAGGAAAAGTAGCACCTTGCGAACCGGACCCTACACTTGGGGAAAATATAGGAAACGTAGGCGTTAATACAAAAATGCACCAAGTATGATATACATGCATAAATTTTTTGAAAACATGCTAAAAGGGACATTTTAGTAGATTGCATGCAATTTCCTAAGTTTGAGTAACCATAGTTCATATTTCATATTCTAATTCAAATTGTTGTCATAGTGGGATTAAGCCTTAACCGACATAGGCCATGTGAGCTAACAAGGAATCCGGTGTCTACCCCACACCGGAAATGGGTTGTCCTACTTGTCTATGGTAAACCACACTCTTAGCTTAGATGGATACACTTGCTAAATACCTATGAGGGCACATAGTTTATTGGATAAGGAGATTGCTACTAGAAATCCAGGCTAGACTAACGGGAGAGCTTCCATCTCATGAGACCTCTTCTAGAAACCCAACCTCTACTAGTGGGAGAGATTCCATGCCATTGTTAATATCGACACGATTCTAAGAATTAATTTCCATGTATTACATATTAAGTCTTGATTAAGTTCATATTCATCGAAGAATGTCTTGACACTCAATCAAACATAATTCATAAGATAGCTCATTAGATCATGAATGAGAATAACCTTTCATCGTCCATGTCTACATAAAGATTCAATAGGTGAGCAAGCCTTTCAACCCTAGAATCATGATATTGTGAAAAAACCTTTCACATCATATAATATTCAAGCAGAAGTGTGTATATGAGAATAACCTTTCAACAACACAACAACTAGATCATAATCGTATTAACTTTACTCTCGAAGTGTTCTTAAAGAATATGTTTAACTTCATAAATCATGCATAATATCATAATTTGCCTTCCAAGAATGAAGTTCATATTGAATCATCATATCTAGAGTTCATTACATTAGACATGGATAATTACATAATTCAAGTAGTTCAATTACTACAAGCATAATTTCATAACATCCTTTTTTTCAACCAAAAATCCACATCACACCATAATAATTGGGAAACATATGGATTTCATGGGTTCTTGGGGATTTCAACATAAAAATCATAATAAATCATCAATTTTGTAACAGCCCGTATTACCCATATGCTTGTTCTATTCTTGTGAAACTTAACATAGCCTTATAGTATAGGTGAGGGACCATGTTTCTTATATGATTAGTGTTGGTTCAAACTATCTCGGAAGGTGATTTCATGCCTTGCATGTTTCAGCATGTGTACTGTAGGTTATAACTCCAATGGAAGTATTTAAACTCGAGACGGTAAGGTGGTAATTGAGCTTAAAGTTGAAAGTTAAGTACTAAGTTAAAGAAAAAGATATTAATATTTAGAAAATGGAATAAAATGAGTGAGCTGCTTGCTTTACTTAACTAAGCTAGTAGGTGACAAATAGGTGCATCACCTACTTTGACTAATTGACCAGTCCAAAGGACCAAGTAGGTGCATCACCTACTTAAGTTATATGGATCTAGTTAAAAAGTCAAGGTTTATGGATCATATTTGGGCCTATGATAATGGACTCACTTGAGGCCCAAACTAAATTGAATAAAATGAAAATGAAATTAAAGCCCAGTAGCCAAATCTGCCAAGGCACAATATATTTAAGCCCAAGTGAAAGAAAGTAGGTGCATCACCTAATTTTACCTTCTGAGCTGCTTGATGTACATAAGCAGGTGCATCACCTACTTGACCAATTAGTGGCTGAAAATGGACCAAAAATGGG